ACCAGGGCTACGTGGAAGGCCGCCCCGGCTCCCTGGTGACGCTCAGCACCTGCTCGGGTCTGAGGGGGCAGCTGCGAGTCGGCAACCGGAGCTACGGCATCGAGCCCGTGCCGGGATCCCTCACCTTCCAGCACCTTCTCTATCGCAGGGAGGAGAGCCCAGACATGTCGCTGACGTGCGGCCTGACCCAGGCTACCCCGCGGCAACAGGAGGGCATCAGCGCCAAGCTCAGCGCGCAGGACTACCTGCAGCGGCTGAAGCACACCAGCTACGTGGAGATATTCGTGGTGGTCGACCACTACCTGTTCTCCTTCTACAGGAGGAATGAGAGCGCCGCTGTACAACTGGTCGTGGACGCCATCAATTTGTCGGAAACGTACTACTACCCCCTCAAGGTCCGCATCTGCCTCATCGGGATCGAGATCTGGACCCACAGCAACCTCATCGGATACAGCCAGGACATCGAGTACGTCCTCAACAACTTCAACGACTGGGCAAGCCAGGATCTCTCGCGGAGGATGAAATACGACCTCACACATTTATTTACCTACAGGGACTTTGGATTTGTTGTTGGGCTGGCGTACGTAGGCAGCGTCTGCTATGCTGGTTATAACACAGGCCTCGTGACGCACATACGGGGAGACTTTGTCATCTTTTCTATTATTTTTGCCCACGAGCTTGGCCACAATCTGGGAATGGAGCATGACGCAAAGCACTGCGTGTGCGGCAAGGCCACTAAATGCTACATGACCGGAGAATCGCTGGAAGACAGCAAGGCCTTCAGTAACTGCAGCATTAAGAGCTTCCTCGACCTGCTCCAGAGAGGGGACGGCAACTGCTTGCGTAACGTCCCGGAGCCTCATAGACTTTTCTACTACCAGCTTTGTGGCAACAAGGTGATAGACGAGGGAGAGCAGTGCGACTGCGGGAGGCCGCTGGACTGCCAGCGCGATCCGTGCTGCGACCAAAACTGCCGCCTGAAGCCGGGAGCCGTCTGCTCCATGGGACGGTGCTGCCAGAAGTGCCACTTCCGCGCCGCAGGGCACAAGTGCAGGACGGAGACGGATGAGTGCGACCTGCCCGAATATTGCAACGGGACGTCCGAGTGGTGCCCGATGGACTTCTATGTTCATGACGGGACGCCATGCAGCGACAACGGCTCCTGCTACCAGGGAAAATGTGCCACCTATGACAAGCAGTGCAGGAAGATCTTTGGGAAGGAAGCCCGGGGTGCTCCGGAAAGTTGCTTCAAAAAGCTGAATGTGAAAGGGGATCGATTTGGCAACTGTGGAGGCGATGGGACCTCCGCTGCTTTTGTGGGGTGTAAACACCAAAATGCTCTGTGTGGTCGGCTGCAGTGCGCAAACGTCAAGAGAATACCCTTCCTGCGGGGGCCTGAAACCATCATTCAGACGCCAGGGCCCCAGGGCTGGTGCTGGGGCACGGGCTACCACGCCGGGATAGACGTACCTGACATTGGAGGTGGCCTCGACGGCACCAAATGCGGTCCACAGAAGATCTGTATCAACAAGACATGCAGAGATGCTGCAGCCAGTAAAGAGTGCGATCCGAAGGTTTTGTGCCACGGAAAAGGGGTTTGCAACAACCTCGAGCACTGCCACTGTAAGGCTGGCTGGGCTCCTCCTGCCTGCCAGTTCCACGGGCTCGGAGGCAGCGTGGACAGCGGCCCGCCGCCCCCTCTCTCCATGTCCTTCTCGGAGGTTGTCCAAAATAAAGCTTTTGGGACCGCAATAGGGAGCAGCATTGCTGTTGTCCTCACTCTGATCGCGCTCGTCGTTGTTGTCATCAAATACAGGACGGCGATGGTTGCACTTTTCCGTAGAAGACTAGCCTAAAATGGAGCTAAGATTGCTGCAGCGGAGGAGCAGAGTATGTAAAAAGACGACAATGTTGGAGGAAAACGAAGCAGTGGAAAATCCATCAGCCGCAGGCCCCTCTGGGCATGTCCTTGAAGCTGGACTGCTAGGCCCAGGAGATGCATATAAAGTGATAAACACAAAGTTGCTGTGTAAATTGTATAAAAGTTAATTGCACAAAACTTGAGTGTTTCCTCTTCCTGTAATACCTACTATGTAAATAAATTCAGTTTGGATCTAAAAAGTGAACCTATTAGAAAATAAAATATGAAAATTATAAAGTTGTTTTCATTTCATTGCAGCTAAAGATGTGCTTTATTCTTTAAAAAATTGTGAGGCCTTAGTAAGTAATTCACTTGAGCAATTCGAAGAGTATAGGCAGATTCACTCTGAGCCCTGCTCACCTGGCTCACGAGAGCTGCTCCCTTGTGGTATATAAGCAAATTTTTCCTAATACTGTAGCTGAGCCGGAGCTGATGTGAAGAAGTGAAATGTGTGAAAAGTCAAAGCATAGAACTGAGCTCTCTTTTTTTTGTGCTACATTGTAATTTTTCTTTCCTGTGTATTTGGGTATTAGTAAGGTACTTTTTTTTTCATTTTTGTAGTAAATAGAAAGTCATAGATTTAAAAATATCTTTTCTTTACTGTTAAGTTGTAATGGCAAACACCTGACAAAGAGCAGTAAAATATGACCACCTACCTTGAGGAGCCATACCAGACCTCAGAACTGTTACATGTAATTTGCTGCATTTCTAGAGATATTTCCATAAGGAGAGAGTCCGTATTAAAGATTTACCACATTTATAGAATCTATTTAAAGTCCGTACAAATCTGTAAAATAAATAACGACCCTGAAAAGCAACTGTCTCTGACAGATCTGCTCGGGCTTTTCCTTCATTACATTTAACTTTGTTGATGCTGAAACAGTTCAGACCAAGGAAGTCAAGAGCGTTTCTGGCTGATGCTGCTAAAACAAGACGAGGCCCCGCGGGGAGGCTGCTCAGGCTTTGTCCCACGCAGGAACTCGTCACAGCAGGGTGGACGTGGGGGGCAGCTCTGCGTCCGGGGGGCTGGCAGGGAGGGTGCTGGCGTAGAACCTCTTCTGGGAGCGCAGCAGAGGGGTCTGCGTGTCGACGTCGCGGCACGCGCCGCGTTTGAGGGCGAGCAGGACGTGCTGTGTCCAGCCGTACACGAGGCAGTTCAGGAGGCCCTGGGACGCTGCGGTCAGAGCCTAGCGGAGACCACAGGGGAGATCAGGGCTGTCTCATCACGACACCTTGACGGGCTGTCCACCCTGCTGCGTCACGCCAGGCCTGCACTTACAGCACGATTTTACCTAACTGCATTCCCACGTGATACAGGGATCTCTCCGTTATTTTAATCATCTCTGCTAATTGCAGCCTCCTCAGTTACATCAAGCAGCTGGACAGCGCCAGGAGGGAACTGCATTTGCAGACTTGGTCTTTCATAGGAATGGAACAAAAATCACTGAATTCAGGGGACCCCATCTAGTCATGTTTTCTATGATTTCTCTGACATTGTGATTTTAGTTAGGGTGGCCTTTACAGGCCCATGAAAAACATAAAACAACTAAGAAAATATTCGCCAACCAAAGTACAAATCAGATTTAAGCTCACACTGCAGTGATCTTTGAGGCTAGAAATAGGCCTTGTCTAGTAGACAAGCAAACACCAGTATCACTGCTCAAGTAGAGAAGGCAACACATAAGTGATTGCAGACTTTTACCTGTAGAATAAAGAGAGCCATGTAGACTTTGTTGTTTGCTGAAGCTATCAGCTTCAGTATTCCAAGGAGGACAGCTGTGAAAAGGAATAGACAGAAAGGTGCTGCTTTAACCCAGTGTTTCACGTTTCATTGTCATGTATCAGGTCTTAGAAGGATATTGTGGAAGTAACTCAGGATTCTGCTCACCTGGGCCCCAGCAGCAGAAGAACGCGATGGGGTAAAACACCACTCGCTGCTCCACCACCTTAATCATTGCCCACTGTTGATCTCCCAAGAATCCTGTGGAGTTTACAAACCTTTTGTACAAACCACGGGCTTGAACAAGTATAACCTAGAAAGAATAAGCATATATAGCTTGTATTTTATGCACATGCTCTGATCTGATTTGTTCATCTGCTACAGAGTATCCCACACTTTTTTAGCCAGGACTTCATTACGGTCTTTCAGACCTTTTCGTGCCATGCACAGTGTGCTCCTGCAAGGGTAGCAGTCTTCTGGCATGTGATCTTTTCCAAACTGAGGAATCTTAACTGATTTGGTCTCTTGCTGGACAGAAGCTTGCCCATGCACTGGGTGATCTCTGCTGTCATTCTCTGAAGCCTTTCCCACTTGCTAAATCCTTTTTGAGGAAGGGTGACGAAACCCAGGACTCCAGATGCAGATATATGGTGGCACAATTATATGTATTTTCTATTTTCCCACTCTTCCAGAAGAGAGGCAGTACCACAGAGTTTCCCCCTGACACTGGCTGGCCCACGGTACCATTCAAGCAATCCTGGGAGGCCACTGAACATCATGCAAGCAAAGGGACCTGTGACCCACGTAAAGAGGAAAACAGGCAAAACTCCCTCTCACAGGGACGTGTTTCTTACCAGAATGGCTACGAAGCTGATCAGAAAGGAAACGAGGAAGACGCCGATGCCGTAGTAATACATGACCTGGCAAACAGAGCTGCTCAGAGCTGGGAGCTCGCTGGGGGACACGGCGATTTCTGTGTGCATCAGGAGGCACCTGAGGGGAGGACAGGGACACGCTGAGCTCCTGCTGCGGTGCAGCGCGGCGAGGCCGGCGCAGGGAAGCCTGCAGCTCACCCATGCTTCTGGCTGAAGTTCTGATAGCAATTACTGCTGTTTCCCAGGCAAAACACGGGCACCATCAGAAGAAAAGGGATCAAGCTAAGGAGAAGAGAGGACACCATGACAGTTACTGCACCACTCCCCACACACCGTTCTTGCTCCTGCCACTATACTGTATTTTACACTTGTTTTTACTGATACTGTTATGGAAGAGCACTTTAACAGCCTAACTTTTGCCATTGCATTCATACTGGAAATATATTGTTAAAGAGAGCAGTATTAGAAAACCTACATGAAGCCATATAGTTCTAACTCTGTTGGATGGAGAAAAGCCCTGACAAACACAGACTTTGGCTCCAACTTTGCTGGCTCACCCCTGTCATTGATGAACACAGGTCTTACTAATACTTGCTTCAAAGGACATAGAGGGCAGGGATCAGAACACTCTAGTTTACTAAAACTGCATCATTCTGCCAGGGGGAATCTAGTCTTACCTGGACAAGATAGTTGCTGCTCGGCCAATGTAACTGGTGTAGTCTACAACCTGCAAAGTCCAAAGATCTTAATTAAATCATCATTTCAATATAGCCATTGGTGCACAGGAAATGGCTCTCATCGAGCATTTTCAACAGCTCAGAGAGTTCAACAAGTGCTGCTTAATCCTCGGGCCGAGCACAAATGTTTGTTTTGCCTCTGAATGGCCACACAAGCAAAATTTGGAAGTGCTTTCCAAGGTAGGATTCATGGCAAGTCACTCTTCACCAAATCAACACTGCAGAGTTCACAATGCCAACGATTTGCAGTGTCCTGGTCTCTGTGCACTGGAAATGTACCTTGGCAGCTGGCATCCACATGCCAGGTATGACCTCTGCAGTGCTAGAGAATTTATGATAGATGATGCATTTTGAAAGAGAATTTAGTAAAAAAGAAACTGCTCCTACAAATGAACCCAAATCCTACAGAGGAGAGTCCTAGAAATATGGTCTGATAGGTGCTCCTGCACAGAGACATGAGATACCTGGGCATGCAGAGCATGCTGTGCACATCAAATGTCCAAGGAAGAGAAAAGCTGCATGCAGGGATGGGGCTGATGATTTCATCAAGAGGAGGTATATAAACCTGTTCTCTGGCAGCAATATATTTGGAGGAATTCTAGTTACAGAGAAAAAATGGCGCCTCAGTATTTAGCCAGGTGTGAGGAATGAAGCAACTACAAGGAGAGATTTTGGTCACGCAGCATGTGGAGTGTTTGCTCAGCCTGTAACTCCAAGGGTGGTTTTGTGAGTACTGTGTCCTTGTTCTTCGGTTCCCAGCGATTGCACCAGTTCATAAAAGGGCTTTTATAGAGGGCAGTGATGAGGAAGTGAGGACTGGCCTTTGTCCACAGAACCCGCCAGTCATTCCATCGCTACCTCACTGTGTCACACCTTCCATCTCAAACTCTTATCGTCTATTACAGATGCTCTTGAAAGCTGTATAACGTCAAAGGAAGGCAAAAATTGTCACTTCTCAGCTCCAGCTTGTCCAGGTACCCCCTCCTTTTCTGTCCTTCTGAGAGACTCATTCCTCTGCTATGTACTAGCAGAAGACTGTGAAGCAGCAAACCAGGTGCTCAAACTGCTCTGCCTCCAATTGTGGAAACACTTCACCAGTGCCCAGTCTGGAACCTTCTCTGAGGTGTCCCACTGCCTATTTTGGTACTGCACACCACATCTTTCAGACCTAGCCCTAATTCTGCTGCTCGCTCATGACATGGGCAAGACACATCAAACCCATAGAGCAGCAGGGCCTTCGGAGTCCTCATGGCACGATTTGTATGCACCTCCTAAAGTGCCACAACGCCACAGTCAGACCTTGGCACCCAACAGTTACCGTACAAGAGTCCCACTTACCGGGGGAGACATCCTGTAAAGGTTCTGGTTGTATTTCATCTTTAGGTCCACGTAGAGATGCCAAGTGTAGTTGACAGTGTACAGAAAAGAGGCCACGTAGAATATCTGAGAAATAGGAACAGGCAAGATTTCAGTCCTAGGACAAGTTTCTGCAGCGCTGACCTTAGCTGATGACCGCAAAGGCTCAGCTGAGGTCCCCCAAATATGGGACATGAAGCACCACAGTGGCCACCAAAGGTGAGGTTCCCTGCACAGCGCGGGATGAATGTGCAGCCATGGGCACGTGCAGCCTTCCTGAGCCCCTGTGCTCACATCTGCTTGGCTGCAGTGGGACACAAACTGGGAAAAGTCAGGTTGAAGAGACATTCTCACCTTTAACTGCTCAAAGGAAGCCTCATTTTGCCCTGCATACAGGGATGGAAGAGCTGATGACAGCAGGACAGTCCTACATACAAAGTCTTTCTGACTGGGCTCTCTTTTTGGCCACAAACCTTTTAACACAAACTGCAAAGGCTGCAAAGGCTCTTTGACCCTCCTTATGTCACATTCATTAGGAAATGCAACAAATGCTGCACTTAGATTTGCTCCTCACATAACGGGCTCATTACACAGTGAACTCACAGACTCAGAAAACAATAGTATATTTAAAGAAGAAAGTGAGGGAAGATAACACAGTTTCTGCACAGTGAGCCTGTGTTAATGTGCTAAGTGCCCTTTTCTCCTCCATGGGAAAAACAGGAGGAAAGAAAAGATATAAATTTTCTCATGGTGAGTTTCATGGCCCAGGATTCTAGTTTAGGATGACACCAAATATATGAAATCTCCTATGACAGAACAAATTTATCTTGCATCTGCTCCTGAAAGGCCAGTGCTGGTTGCTTCAGGCAGCCAATATAAACAGTGCTGCCTACTCATTATATCTGTGTGTTTTGTTTCTTACAGGAAACACATGTTTCAGCAGCAAAGGCAAAGAGGAAGGGCTGAACTAGTGAATTTTTCTGTTGATTTGCTGTCCTCTGCTTAAGGAAGGAAGCACAGATTTGTTGTCGTGGTATCATGTAAGCCCAGGAAAGCAACCACTAAATAAAGAAACCTGCTCTCCTTCACTGAGATTGCCAATGCTCTTGGCTGGTTTTCTCGAGGCTGAGACCGAAGGGCTGCCGCGCTGCTGACGGAACATTACAGTGGCTCTGCAGCTCATTAGAGGAGGTTTAATGAGGGTTCATTGCCCTTCCTCGGTTATTCCCGAGGAGAAGCATCAAAACACTCCACAAAGATAATTTCCTAGTGCTTGAAAATACCTCAGAGAGCTCACAGAAGGTCAGCTCTGCCTTCTCTTCTGGAAGAGGAAACCAAAAGCCGCTTGAGAAGCTGCTGGCGAAAGGAGAAGGGAGTTGTGCCCTCCCGAGAGCCGGCTCAGGGCTGCAGAGGGCTGAGCTGCTCTCAGCACGAGAGGATGAAGCTGGGGGACGCGCGAGTCCCTCATTAGGAGCCTTGTGCAGCCTCATTGTGCCCGCCAGCGTGAGTGCAGCCTGCCAGGACACTCGACAGCTGCTGGAATTGAGCTGGGAGAACGGCAGGGAATGGCGTCATTAAAACCGAATCGCTCCTCTGAACTCAACGCTGCACAAAGGCAAGGCAGGGAGGAGAGAAGGACAAAGTCGAGGGACAGCAAAAAAAAAGCACTATTGACATTTATTGTCCAATAGAAGAAAGCACTATTGACATTTATTATCATGACTTCAAACAAGAGTCTCGCGCCTAAACAAGGAAAGTCCACGGAACGAAGCAACCTGCTCCCGGCACGGATACGAGGGGACTTCCATCTGCATTAACTTTAGCCCTTGGTGATAAAGCAATGGGGAGCAGTAGGGTGAGCCCATTGCCCTGCTCCTAATGGCAATTCCCCAAGGCAGCCTTTTCACGGGGAGGACTTCAGGGGTTTTTCCAAGGGCTGCCAATGCAGACGTCACTGCTACACAGTCCTAGCCCGCCCGGCTCGCATGGCACATTCTAGAGTTTCTAGGTGTTTTTGTCACACATGTTTATTAGACTGTTTATTAGCAATGAAACCTCTGCAAGGCTTGTGTGCTCAGCGCTGGCAGGACGGGACCAGGAGCTGTTTATTCACCTCAGCTGGTTACAGATCACTTGTGCTCTGCAGAAGGCGCTCGTCAAACCTGTTGCGAGCTCCTGCCTACGCACAAGGTGTTCCCAGCACGCAAGGGTGCTCGGGACGGTGTCCCGCGCCGTGTCACGTGCGGGCACAGTTGCTATGGCAAGTGCTCCGTTTGTTTCAACTCCTCCCAGAGCAAACAGGAGTGGGAACACTTGCCAGATGCCACCTCTCCTGCCAGGAGCGGCCACCAGCCTGGGCAGCACACGGGAACACAGGAGAGGGGCCCGGCGACCCTGTGGCCACCTAGGGACGTGGTGGCACCCTGGACACCCCTACACTGCCCTGACAGGTGGGAAAAACCCTCAGTCCCACAGGCTCTGCAAAGTCTCTCCTCAACTGTCCTTATTGTCCCCACTACCTTCTTCTAGAAACTGTCTCTGATACCACCTGTGTCATTCCCAAGGGGCCAAATTACACACTCCTTCCTGCTCCCTGACTCCAGGTGAACAAGTAGCATTGCTTCTAAAGCAGCACGAAGAAAAATCAGAGGCAAACAAGAGAAGCAAAAGCTGCTCTGCATCTGTGGGTCCCATCACGCTCCCTGAGGATGCAGCCGAGCCCACACGAGGAACACGAAGGCTCCTGAAAACTGCTCGTCCTTCCTAGACGCTTTTTTGTGGGCCCTTTTAAAAAGAAACTTAACCTCAAAGATCACCAATTGCAAACCATGACTCTGGCCCAGGCTAGGCTGTTTGCTGCAGAGCTTTTGGAGAGCAGTGACTTGCAAACCCTAAAGAATGGGATAGGAACCCGAGAGACAAAGCTAAGACATCAGGAAAGGGACATCACACTCATTCCACTTCAGTTAGGCTGAAGCACAGGAAATCATCCCAAAATCCTGGAAGGCAACCAAATTGCTGGGGCACGAACAACCAGGGAACATCCTGGGAATTGCATGAGAGGGGATAGGGCCAGAGCAGCAGGACCACAGGGTCATTTACATGAGTAACATCAGAGATCCATAGGTCCGGGCTGAGGCAGATTGGAAAACGTGTCTGTTCCTGCCCAGAACGGAGGAAGCATTAAGAGGAATAGAAAAGCGGCAGTGCGGGACACGCGGAGATAATCCCTGGCATTTGTTCAACAGGAAATAGATTAAGACCCATCAACTCTTTACACAAGCAGCCCAAGCACTGCAACCACAAGATCCCATGCTCCGCTTGCTTCCTTTACTGCCTCCCCCAAACCAGACCTACCTAAAAACCAAGCACTGTTATCTCAGCTTTACACTTGAGGTGAAGAGACCTGATAAGTCCCATTCCCACAGGGAGTCTTTGCCAAAATTTGTCTGGAAATGATCGCCCGTGGCCCTGATCACCAGGGGTGATACCTGCGGCAGCGAGGGCCAAGCAGCAGCAGGAACCGCGACGCCGGGGCTACTCACTTGCCCCGTGGCCTGCAGGTTGTAGCAGATGAGATCCTCCTCGGGGGCCGGCGTGCTGTAGAGGAGCGCCCCGGCGAGCCAGCACATGCCGAGGAGCAGGTCCGAGAGGCTCAGGTAGAAGAGAGGGCGAACCTGGGGAAAGGGAAGGAGCTCAGCGGGGCCGGGGATCACCCGCAGCAGCGGCGTTACCCCTTGTCCGGATACGCTCTCGACCCCAGCTCTTCTGCCAGGGCAGATCTCCCCACACAGGAAAACTGCCCTCATTCCTGCACTCGGGGCTTTTTCCATATAGATTCCCTGTCCTAAGCACTCTCTAGGGCGCCACTCATGTCCCAGGATCCAAGAACAGCATCGAACCACACAGAAAACATTTTGATCCTGCAGAATGAGTTAAATGAGCTAATACAGAAATCAAACTTTTGGGAAATCCAAATTACTTCAGACCTGAGGAAGCCTTTAAGTCTCTTTTTTTTCCCTGTGTCTTCCAAGTAATTTCAGTTGGTGACTAAAACTGAAAGCATTTTATATGCCAAATTAATTCCCACTGTGAGAGGCGCTGGTCTCTGCTCCACCGTGCTCATCTGCAACAATCGTGTCTTTTCTAATGGCATTTTCCAGTCCACTTCCAGTTCCCATGCACTGGCCAAAAGCTGAAATATTTGGGACTGTAAACACCGCAGGAAAATATTTGTGCAAAATTCTGGCCAACATTTTCATTGTTAGCAGGAAAGCAGCTGCTGAGGAGAACTAACCTAATTGAGTACATTCTTAATTGTAGTCTTTGGTACCTAATTTTCAGAATCCTGGAGAGAAAATGTTGGCTTTTTTTTCTTCCCCCCCAAGGGGAAATTATAATGCTAAACACAGCATGAAAACATTTCAAGAGGCCTCTGTTTGGGGAAGATTGTTTTGTAGGACTGAGCCTTTGGGTGAAATTTGCCCCAGTATTGTTCTTTAAGTAAAATTTTGCCACCCACCACAGTGTGTTAGACTTGTCTCTCCCCCTGAATCAAGACAAAGAGCTTGGTGAGATGGATAAGTGAAAAATCTGCTAGAACCAGACCTGTCCTCATGGCATCATTTTAGGGAAGATCCCGTTTGGGCTCTTCCCGGGCTCCATGGTGCCACTAAGCAGCAAGGCTGCTCAAAGTGCTGCCGCTAACTAAATATCCAGAGCTAGTTTCATCATTGCATTTACAAACGCCTCTTTTAACCAGTTATAAATGCAGTTTGCCCCTTGCAAGTGCAGAACTGAAGCGCAGACGGTCACAGGGGTGACAGCCTGGGGTTGCCATCCAGGTTGAGAACGTGGCAGGTTAAAACTAAGCAGCTCTGCAATAAGCAAAGGGGCAATTTTTGCAGAGGAAAAAGTGGCGCCTCCGGAGGGAAGCAGTGCTGCTTGGCTGAGGAGCTGTTTCGGCACAACCCTAAATAAAGAAGTCAATGACATAATCTGCAAGTAAAAGGCAGATGAGTGCAAAAAGGGGGGGGAAAAACAACAATAAGAAAAAAAAAAAAGTATTTATAAAATAGAGGAAGGGAATGTGGGGGCGTAACGGTTTGGATGAGCTGCCTGGCCAGAGCACACACGTTCATCCTGCTGTGTCCCAGCTGCCCATAGACAACCCACTGCCACGATGGGGAAAACCCACATTTACTCCCTGCCATCACAGCTTCTGAACGAGTTAGCACGTCTTGAACGTGTAACTGACCCCACTGAGACAGAAATTAAGCTTCAAGAATTCAATAATTGATTTCCTGGGCTGGGGTTAGTAGGGGAAGTTGTAATAATACTGTTCTCCTCTCAGTCTTGGGAGTGTTTTGTTTTGAAACGTTTTCCTCTGGAGTCTCATGACTCAGGGAATGAGCTGTTTATGGCCAGTTTAGATTTCTCCCAGCCTCTTTGTTTACAAATTTCCCACCGGACCAGGACAGCAGGGCTGAGGGGGAGACACTTTGCTGCTTTCGAAACAGCAGCAACGCATCCCCCAGGCAGCAGGGCACGAGCCGGGTGCCAGCGTGATGCCAGCTGGTATCCATCGCATCCCGGGCGGATTTGCAGTAATAATCCGAGCTGAAACATCTGGGCCCGCTCGGACAGGAACGGCCCGTGTGTGGCTAGCACCATGTGCAGCTCACAAGCCACTCTGGAGCCATGGCCCCGTCATATGACCAGGAGCACCCAGGCTGCTCGCTGGGGAAGCAAAGCCGCGACGGGACACGAGTCCCTGGGGCACCTGCCAGACCCGGCTCCATCCCGCAAAACCGCGGAGGACCCCGGCAGAGCGACGCACGTCTGCAGCTCCCGGCTTTCCATGGCACCTGGTGCAGGACAACCTCAGCAAGGTTGCTTGGCGTGTCTAACTCCCCCTTTTTTGCCTTCCTTCCTTCCTGGGATCTCTGCAGCTCATTCCCAACATGCTGGTCTCCATGAGGCTGCCCACCCCGGAGGCAGAGTGTCCATCTTACTGCAAGCAGGGCAAATTCACCCTGCAAACCCAGACCCGCATCCTCCTTCCCACCCTGCTACATCCACAGCCTGATTGCACGACCGCCCTTCTCCGAGGGGGATTTACTGACTTCCCTGAACGCCCTAGTCCTTGGGTTGCCCAGCAGACCTGCAATGTATGAGGAGCTCTGAAAACAAGGAAAGCACAAGGCAGCTCTGCCATAGCAGATCTGTGCTGTCCCGCTCTCAGCAGCAGCCTGGAAGGTGCATGGTCCACACACAGACCCTGCATGAGGAGCGTGGGCTCCGCAAGATCAGCTCCGCGCACGCGCATCCCGGCAGGCTCGGGATGGAGATCCAGGATCCCTGCAAACACGGCAGCTGCTCAGCACGACCAGCAGCGCCGATACCCTCCAGGCACGTGGGATTCCCTGCACACGCGAGCTGTGTGTGCGCGGTGAACCCAGACACACCAGGCTCTCACGGCACCTCGGATTAGCCTCCAAGTCCCACCGCTTTAGCATTAGAAATGTTGACGCTGTCTGGGCATGGCCAGAGCAAATTTTTCAAAGTGAGGACTTGCCTCACTGTAAAATTCAGCACAACAAAAACCGCTTTGCAGCCTGTTCTGTTTGCAACACCGTTGAGCTACGCTAGCTTTCACAGCATACCAGCCTGTAAAAACTACTCAGAAATGCCCAAAGCCAATGACCTGCAAATGCATTTCACACAGAGGCAAATCGTCAGCAGCTTTCTACATGGAGATCCTCAGCCCTCTGCACTCCTCGCCCCACAAGGGAGGTAACTCCACCAAATCCCCATTCCCAGGCACAGCACCTGAAAGCCTCAAGGGCTTTCCCAGGGCTGCAGAGAGCACAGTGCTGAGGAAGCTGCTCTCCCCAAGGGAGCACACTGAGTCCCTTAAACCCGTTGTGGAGAAAGAGCCCTTTGCCCTGGAGAGCCCTTTGCCTCCCAGGTGCAGTAGAGCAAGTCCAAGACCTGCTGTCACCCCTAGCAGGACACCCGGCTCTCTGCCACCTGCGCTGCCAGCACCCGACCCGGCGAGAGCAGAGGTGCAGTCCTTACCTCAGGGGACCGCACGGCGTTTTGGAAGACAGCGTAGGCAATGATGGAGCTGGAACCTATAACACTGACAAAACAGAGCAGGGGTTGGAAGAGGGCCACGTCTGGGGCTCCGCGGGCTCGCTCGTTCCTGCGGAAAACGGTGTCACAGAGACAAGTCCCGTCGCGAGCTTGGTGGCACGCGCTACCTCAGCAAGGCCATGGTGAACTGGATCCACTGCAGAGCCGAGTAGACCTGGATGGGGGGAAGGAGAGCGCGAGCTCAGTGTTTTTTTGCCGTCCTTCCTTCCTGGGATCTCTGCAGCTCATTCCCAACACGCTGGACACCATGAGGCTGAGCATGAGGCTCCTCGCCCTGGAGCCATCCTCTCGGGAGGCAGGGAGAGGACGGGGATGGCTGGGAGTGCATGGAAGGGATGGGGCAGAGGGGACAGGACAGTGTCCCCACAAGGGGACAGGCAGCGTCCCTGTGGGTAGGTGTCCCAGAGAGGGACGGGAGAGTGTCCCTGTGCAGGGAAAGGCAAGTTCCTCACAAGGTGGGACAGGGCGAGATCCCTGTGAAGGGAGAGGCAGAGAGGGAACAGGGTCCCCATAAGCAAAGACACGACAAGATCCCCGTGAAGGAACAGTGTCCCTGTGAGGGGACAGGCAGGCTGCCCATGAGGGAAGACAGCACAAGATCCCTGTGAAGGGACAAACAAGGTCCCCA